GTGGCAGCAGCCGATGTCAATGGAGACAGCAAAGTCGATATTATTGTTGCAAACGAGGGTTCAAACAACGTCGGTGTTCTTCTCAACAATGGCAATGGCACGTTTGCTACTCAAGTGAGCTACTCAACTGGCAATAACCCGTATTCTGTGGTAGCAGCCGATATCGATGGAGACAGCAAACTCGATATTATTGTCGCAAACTACGGTTCAAACAACGTCGGTGTTCTCCTCAACAATGGCAATGGCACGTTTGCTACTCAAGTGACCTATTCAGCTGGCTTTTACCCATATTCTGTGGCAGCAGCCGATGTCAATGGAGACAGCAAAGTCGATATAATTGTCGCAAACTACGGTTCAAACAACGTCGGTGTTCTCTTAGATGTTTGCAGCTAAAACAAAAGTTGAACTATTCTTATGTAATAACATTGAAGTAGTCGATTTAGATTTTTACTAAAATCTATTTATGTCCTTTAACAAAATCAGACTGTCCTTGTGTCATTTAGTTACTAAGGGTGTTGGTGTGTGGTGTGGGTGTGGGCGTGGATGGATGGGGTGTGTGGGGTGTGGTGTGGTTGTGGATATGGGTGTGGGTGTGGGTGTGGGTGTGGGTGTGGGTGTGGGTGTGGGTGTGGGTGTGGGTGGGGTATGTGGTCTGGGTGTGGGTGTGAGTGTGGCCTGGCTTTCTGTAAAAAACACTCACACCCACACGCTCAAGAAAGCCAGGCCACACCCACAGCCACACCCTCAATGTCTGTTTCCTATAGTGGTGTCCATCTGGACCCCGCTTGGTACTCCGAGGGTTAACTGTGCACGGAACGATAAAATACGGCCGTCATACTATGCCTATCAAACGTCAATCTATGACTATTTACTACTGCAAACTGTGTGAAACGACGGTATACGTTATCATTTTTGATAGTTGTGGCGACTGTGATCATTGTCCCGGAAATATTTTGCACCTATTCTAATATGAATCTCGATATGGGTTCGTCTAAGAACATCCAAGACATCATAGTAACGCTAAAAGTAAGGCTCTATATTGGTAAGTCAGGGAAAATCAGGACAATATCAGAATTTTTGGTCAAAAACAGAAAAATCAGGACAGTCTTCAAAAATCAGGAATAAATCAGGAAAGTAAACACGCTGCGAGGCCTGCTTTACTGATCAAGTAAAAGAGCATGAAATTTCCATACTACCTTTAGTAATCCCATTTTTCAGTGGACATTTCTTCTTACTCTACAGACTTTGGTGAACTTTTCTATATTTATGTGCCACTTTTCTATAAACAGAAGGACAATTCTGTTTCCAATAGATTATCATTCTTTTTTATTACGGAAGTTTTCTATATTTCGACGACTTTTCTCTTAATTTAACGGACTTTTCGTGAAGTTTTCCCTATTCACGCAACACATTGCTATAACTGGAAGGATTCTTGCGTTTCTAGTAGATCACTATTGCTTTTGTAACAGGCGCTTTCTACGTGTCCGCAAGTATTTCTTCTAGGTCGACACGTTTTAAGTGAACTTTTCTATATCGTAAACTTCCTGCATTATTTTGTTGCGATTGGAGTTTCCTAAGAGTGAAATTAAATTTTGTTTTTTTCGGATCGATTAAGTGAAGTTGAAATATAAATAGGAGTGGCATGTTTAGTTTACTTTTTGTGAATGTAAATCCTTTACTTTCCTATATAGAGTAAGTACTATATTCACCTGTAAAAATGTAAATACTGTATTTACTTTTTGATTACAGTGAAGCGAATAGAAAGTTTACAACAAACTAAAACTGAATCTTGAGCTGTTGCCGACCATTTTCTTGGTTGTGTCTGATTTGGATTCATAGTAGAACTCTGGTAGGTGGATAAGGATTTTATCGGGATTCCAACTATGGAAGTAATACTTTATCTTTATGATATCAAGAAATATAGATATAATGTTTATATTTATAAAATAAATATAAAGAAAATCTTTTTCTTCACAAAGTAAAAATGAAGAACTTTTGTTATTTATCTTTAAAAAATAAAGATAAAAGAAATAATAAAGAAACTCTTTCTATAATAATGTAGTCTTGAAGTGTGCTAAACAGTTTCGAGAAAGGTTATGATACCATAAATGGAAATTAAAAACACAGAAAACCGTTTTGCACATTTTGTTTTAATAATCTCGTATGTAGTAGTGCGGACACGATACGAAAAGACATTGATTTACATATCCTGCTGTGAGAATATGTATATACCTATTTAACTATCATAGAAAAAAACCGTTCTTTTTTTGTTCTTTTATGGTTGTTTTCAAAATGGCAAAGATTTATTTTTCTTATTCATATTTATTTTTTAAATATTAGGTATTTCTTTGTTCTTATTCTATAACGATAAAAATTGTATTTATATTCATACTTTATCACAAAGAAAAATAAAAATAAAGTAACGCTTCTAATTCCAACTCGAAGTCTTATGGAATGAGGCGGGGTGTGGGTGTGGGTGGGTGTGGGTGTGGGGTGTGGGTGTGGGTGTGGCGGTGTGGGTGTGTGTGGGTGGTGTGGGTGGGTGTGGGTGTGGATGTGTGATGGATGGATATGGGTGTGGATGCGTAACTCTCGTCCATGCATACCCACACCCGCACCTGACCCACATCCATAACTACGCCTACCTACATTCACACCTATCCACGCCCTGTTTTCCTCTCAATGTAGTCTAATATAAAATAAACGCCATGAACGCCGTTTGGCATACACTTTAAACGTTGACAAAGTCTAGTGCTTCATATCATAGAAACGCAAATGTCATATTGTGAATCATTTCTGAAACGCAGAAATGAATAAAATTGATTTTGAAGCTTTGGTATTTCGCAAAAATTCACCTTTTTTGAGGTAGTATGAAGGCTCATGTTAAAGTGTAAAGATTCTGAACATTTCACAATAGTTTACTATGTAATTGAGATTCGAATAGGTCTCAATAGCTCATTAAAGTTCAATGAATACGAATCTATTGACTTTATAGATGAACTTGTATACAATCCCGTGGAGGGTGAAGCAATCATTTCGCTGGTTACTTCTTTCTGTGGATCGCAAGAAATGGTTACCGTACGACTTTTTTCCAAGGACCCAACAAGCAAACCGATTATCAATCATGCCTATCTTGAAGGCAATCTCGACGTAGCTGTGCTCACTGAGATTTGTCAAATCAGTTACGAAGTGATAATGAAAGGCCAAAGAATGAAAAGTATCATTTTTGTATAAAATGACACCTGACACTGATCATATTGTTGTCAGTTAATAATAGTAGACACATTCGGATCAATTTATAACTTCCACTGCCAATATCACAAATTTAGAATATAGTCCACTGTTTATGGTTAGCACTGCCACTTTCCTTTTACTTTTAGAAAGGAAAAGAAATAATTGTACGTATGGAATAAAACAATCATTTTAATATCAGTAGTTCTAGTGGATCTTTGTTTCTTTTCTTTTCTCGTTCTTATATTATTCAATCGTATGAATAGAAATGCATTTATTAGTCATTTTTTACATAGAATTAAATTAACATTATTTATTAAAGTTTTGTTTTTAAATAATTAATTAATATTTTTGCTTTACAAATTTTTTTTTTCTAAAACAGTTCTTCATTATTTTGTTTTTCTTACAACCAAATTCTTTCCTACAAAAACAATAACATTAAACTATTAATTTCAAAAACAAAAATAAACTTACATAATACGTTTTTGATATGTACAAATTCGAGTAATTTTATATCCAAATTTTTTTAATCGAACTATCAAATTTTGACGTTTACCTAACATGTGTGCTTAAAAAAAGAAACAAGAAACAAAAAATGAATTCTATCAAATCAATATTAAATACCAGCACCAACAGCAAAAAAATATCGATTATTATTCGAATTATTTAATAATCTATGAATATGTCTTGATATTTGTTCATCACGTTGTTCCATATGCTGCATTTCGTCATTTGTTTCAAGTAAAGTTTTTATATATTTACTATCAATTTCATTGCAAATATAATCTTTGATTGTCGATTCATTTATCTGATGTTTTATATCATCAATACTAAATGTTCCATTTATCATTGTATTTTTAATATAGTCCAAAATTATTATCCATGTTGTTAAATTATGACGCCAACCTTCTTTCTAAAAATGAATAATCATTATTTTAGAGCAAAATAAAATCAATGAGTATCTGTAAAATTACCTTACAATGATATTCAGCTGATTCTAAACTACCTACAGTTTTATTTAAACGACGAGCTTCTACTGATAAATATACATCAAGTATTTCATCTTGACTAACAGAATCAGCTAAATATTAATAATAAAAACAAAAAAAAAAAAAAATAGAATCATTTCTTGTTTTCATCAACTAATCAATTATTAACTTGATCGTTCTATTCGTTTTGATTGATTTACTATGCATAGAAGAAAATCATCCCAAAAAACATAACTTTTTGCATCGATTTCTGCATAATAATGTGTACTTGACATAAATGCTTTTCGAACTTCTTTCGGTACATATGGCCAAACAAGATTGTAAGGAATATGAATAGTACCAAAAATATATGATGGAGGTAATGTTTCAATACGCCAAAGTAATGTAGATGAACATGTCTTATACAAAAGAACAAATATATAAAGTTCTTGGCATGCAAGTAAAGTTTTAAAAAATACCGACCGAAAAAATGATGAATAAAACAAGCGGCAAGATATTGTTTAGCATGATTGCAAATGCCTTTTTTTTTTTTAATTTTCTCTATCATCATGCTTATCTTTCCGTGCCTACACACATATATATTTTATTTCAATAAATAACAATAACTTTCTTCTTTCTATTTGTTACATCAATGCGTAAACAATACTAACACACAAGTATAGAATTAATCCATTAGATTATTTCTATTCTATATAAATACAATAAATTTTTTGACACATGCACATGTGCATTTATTCCTAATCTATCTTGTATAAACAAGAGAACATCTTCATCATTGATGAAAATTGTTATTATTTTCCTCTGTCAATTCTCAGATGCATTATACATCAATATAAAGATATACAGACAGATTATCATTGACAATATCAACGATGATTAGCGGTTCATTCTCTTTTCTTTGCTATTCTATATTATGTACGATAGCACAAACCAAATAATAATTATCTATATATATATATATATAAATACACTTTTCTCATGCCATCATATATCAACATATATAATCATATCAGTCTATATTCAAATGGCATGTTGCTAGAAATAAAGTTATACAAACAAGCTACATCCCATATCACACATAATTCCATTGGTATGAAGAACAATAATCACTCCAAGAATTTCTATATAGCTAATAAATTATATTTATATGATTAATTATCAAATTGTAAAATTTCAGTATACATTTAGTAAGTTATCTCTAGTACTCTTCTTCTTTTTTTTTTTTTTGTTTTTAAATTAAGAATAATATAGCTTGAAGAAGTATCTATCATTCGTTTGTTTTGTTTTTTAATCCATCAAACTAATCGTATATATATATATATACGTATGTGTATGTGTCTCATGTATATTTGATAGTTATACAAAGTTCATTTAAATAGATCATTGTTGCTTTCACTCTTTGCCTACATATTACAAAAAGGCATATCGAATGTTGATAAATCCAAACAAAACAATGGAAAGAAAGAAGTATGCTTTGTCGACAATATTTAACAAACATACGATCGATAAAAGTACTCTTTTTCTCATGGCACTTGTCATGCGAAATAAACTTTTTCATTTTTTTTTTCAAACTCTTCCTTTCATCGTTCAAAGCTTAACAAATTTCATCCCCAAAAAAAAAAAAAAAAAAGAAAATGCATTTTCATTTCATATAAAATCGCAATTGATTTTCCATTGATGCATATACACCTGTTATTTGCCGCTCTATGATTAATCATTAATTGCAAGCATGAATGCTCACACGAGTGGGTGACGTTTTAATTATGATGTACACACGTCGTTGTCTTATCCTAGCAATAATCGGATCAAATATCTTCTTGCTTATATGCTTGAAATTTGATCTTCTCTACTTCGTTGTCGTCATGAGAAATCTGATGTGCATGTAATAGACAAAAAAAAAAATAGTGTACTAAATAATTAGTATACGGGGAATACGGAAAAAAAAAATTCGACGAACCAATTGGAATATATTAAGGATAAAGTTGACAACCAATCACGATATTAAAAGATCTGTGTGTTTCTTTTTCTTCTTCTCTTCGTTTTTTTTTCTCTTTCTTCTTCCTTAATACTTATCGTCGTTGTCACTTGATTAGTATTGACACATCGACATTTGGAAGAGGGAAAAAAAACGTTGGGTATGTAAAAGAAAAGAGAGAAAGATTGATGATATCAATGTAGAGTGAATTTGATATGCATGTACTAATTGCTATAGAAGGTGAGAGGCAATAGAATATCGTGCTCGTCATGTAATTTTAATCGAGATTTATATATATATATCTATATATACATAATGATTAAAACTGTCTTAGTTTTTGTATATTAATACATATACAACAACAACAACAAAAAAAAGAATATGATTGACAGTTAAATTGTTATTTTAATATATTACATAGTGCTTTGTATTTTTTTTTTGCTTTGAACATCAAAAAAATTCAAACATTATTCAGTTATGTCAATAAGATAGTCAGTTGATGCCATATTTTTTTTTCTGATGTCCTTTTAATTCTTTCACATATCGAGAGTCCATTAAGCAGAGCACATACATCTCGAATATTATAAAAGAACAAAAGAAAAAAAAAAAAGGACAGGTTACACACGACGTAAACTTAGCTATGAATCGAATCAAGGACATGACGACGACAATGATGATGATGATGATGATGTTAGAATTGAGAGGTCTTTTTGTGTGTACAAATACATAATTGAGCGGAAATAATGTTTTCACACCAGCAGGGGCGGAGAGAAGATGAATATTCCTTAATGCTTACTCAAACATACAAAAAGAAATGAAGGGATTATATATCGTGATCGAACACTTTACAATTTAGCAAGTCGAGAAAGGAATATTCGCTTACGGGATAAAAAAAAATATATATATAGGAATAAGATTTCTATCATAAAATTGTTTATTCAATAACTTATTTGCATAAACAATGTGTTAATTGATTGAGTGTAACATTTATTAAATTAATTAGAAAATTTATTTCAATACTATTTAATAAATCTATCAAAAGAATAATAACAATGAGATACACTACTATAAAGCATCAAAAGAAAAATATCATGCTGAGTTTTTATATAATTATCAAAGAATAAAGTGTGACCGGATAACATCAGAATGATGATTTTCTCACATTTCATTTCTTCTTATTCTATATTCTATCCTACAATTAAATTCATTAGAACTGATATTTTAATTCTTCTTTTAGAAATGACTTGATGTATATCAATGCAATGAACAGTAGGCAAAAAAAAGAAAAAAAAAGAAGAGAAAAAGAGTTGATTAGAAATTTGAAACTTGTCGAACATGTGTCTGATTTTTAATTGTTAAATTGACAGATTCGTGTGAGTAACGCGTGAATAACAAAATTGATAATAAATCAAACAGATAGACAGACAAGTGGTCGATAATCGTTTCGAACGTATGTCCAGAACACATATTTTATTTGACCTTTTCATTCTCAAAAAATAAAAATAAAAAAACAAGAATATTCTTTTATAGATGAGACAATAAATTTAAAGGAAAAAAAAAAACTTATATTCCATCAACGACGAATATTAATCACAATAGGTGGGAGTTCTTTTTTTTTTCTGCTGCTTTTCTTAATTCTCTCTTTTTGATTCGTTCGTTGAAATGAAAAATATAAAGAAAGAGAGAATGATTCCCTCTTTTTTTTTTCTCTCTCTCTCTCTGTTTTGTCGCTTACATACCTGATTAAAAGGCATCACCTTTCTCTTTTCAAGCGTGAGTGTTTGCTTGCTTGCTTTATCTAACAGAAGGAATAGAGGTAAGATTTCACTCGTGTACAAGTAATTAGATCCTAAACAGATAGTGTTTTTCTCTCTCTTTTTTCTTTTTTTTTGTTTTTTAATATAAAACATAGTCACGTCTAGAATGAAATACGATGTTAGAGCTTTGATTTTTTTTTTTATTATGATTATAGAAAATCATATACGTTTGTGTCTATAATGTTTAAAATCACATTAAACAAGGTAGGAATTCTTATTATAAATTCAAAACTGTTGAAGCTATTAGATAGTGTCTATTAAATAGATAGATTATGTTTGCAGGGGCGTAAGTCGGTACTAAAGGCAGGTGGAGCGTAGCGTCGACAAGCACTAGAATTAGGGGGTTACATGCTCAAATTTGAAAAGCAGGAGGGGGTGTTACACCGCACGCGCCCCACCCTATTTACACCCCTGTATGTTTGATATAATAGTTTATAAAAAAAAAAAACCGTGTTATATCATAGAATATATTGATTTATTCAAAAGTAAAAAAGATGTCAATACTTCTGAGAATTTATTTTTATTTATTTAATCTTTAATTTCTATTTATTGTTAGATAAAGAAGTGTAGAATAAGTTTTTTTTTTTTTTTTGTTTTATTCCATACTCTAACTAGAGAAAAATTTTTCAAATTCTTATTCAATGAAAATTATTCAAATTTGAAAAATAAGTTTTTTAAAAAAAATCTATTTCTTATTTTTTTTTTTTTTAGTCAATCATTGATGGCGAGCTATTCATTTTCACCGCCGGGTTATGTCAATATTCCTCCATATTACAATACAACACCTAATGGTTGTTCAGGTTTAACTTTTCAATATTCATTACCTGAAAGTAAGATTCATTTTGTTTGTTTTTGAATTTTATTCTTTAAATAAAAATCTTTCATTAGATTATTCAACAACAGGTACTTCATCACTTAATACTTCATCTAGTGGTACATCACCATATAGTACACAACCGGTATGATTGAAGAAAATATTACACAAAAAAAAAATTTATATTAATTTTGATTTTTTTGTAGGCTTTTGATCCAACTTATTATCATCAATTTCCACCATCATTTAGTTATCCATATTATCCATCATCGGCATATCCTTCACCATATAATCTTAATACATCAAATCAATTAACAAATTCATTAAAATCTTCAGAAGAATATCAAAATGAATCAATTCCATTATCAATTATTGGTAAAGAAAAAAAAAAAAAAAAATTTCAATCTTGAAAATTTTTTTTTTTATTTAGATCATTCAAATCCAAGTACATCAAATTCTCCATCACCATCAATAAAAATTGATGGAAAAAATTGTTCAACATCAAAATCTAAAACAAATCGAAATCGAAATAAAATTCAACAATTATCACCTGATTTAGATAATAATATTGAACGAATATTTATATGGGATTTAGATGAAACAATTATTATATTACATTCATTATTAACTGGAAGTTATGCACAACGTTATCAAAAAGTAATAATAATAAAAAAAAACACGAATGTTTTTTTTTTGTTTTCTACTCTCTTTTTAATTTAAATTTTCATTTGATTTATTTTTTCTTTTTTTTGTTCTAAGGATCCTCAAACAGCAATGAATCTTGGTGTACGTATGGAAGAAATGATATATAGTTTAGCTGATACACATTTATTTTTTAATGATCTTGAAGAATGTGATCAAGTACATATTGATGATACATCATCTGATGATAATGGACAAGATTTAAGGTATTATTTTTTTTAAATAGTTTTATTTTATTTTTTTTAATTTTAAGTAATTATAATTTTTCAACCGATGGTTTTAATTCATCATCATCATCAAATATGAATAATACAGTTCGTGGTGGAGTTGATTGGATGAGAAAATTAGCATTTCGTTATCGACGTATAAAAGATATTTATAATAATTATCGAATGGATACACAAAGTAAGCCAAAAATCCGAATTTTTTTTTAAGTAATTGAATTATTATTTTAGATTTACTTGATCAACAAAAATATGAAGAATTACTTCAATTACGTTTAGATATTGAAACATTTACTGGATCATGGCTTACATTAGCATCAAAAGCATTGAATATTATTAAACAAAGGTAATTCTATTAAGAAGAATTATATTCTCTTAGATATTAATGTTTAGTTCGAATGTATTATATATTATTGAAAGACAAAGATCTGATTGAGTTCCTTTTTTTTTGCGATAGGCAATCTTTGCATGAAAAGATGGCCCATCTTTAGGTCTTTTATAAACGATAAAAATTTTTACTCAGTATCTTCTTTTTATCGAAGACTTTCGTCATCCTCTATTCAAAAAAAACCGAAAATGTTTTTCCTTTTCTTTTTTCCTCAATTTATGCTTTTTCAAACGCGCAAACAAGATTTCTCTGTCAAGGCTTGTATAACATATTTATTTATTTTTTGTTAGAAAGAGCATGTCAAGATGCAATGCATACAAGAGTCCTCTTTTTAAAATAAGCTTTTTTATTATCACATACGAGTAGACTTCTATAGAAACAACGCCATTTTTTAGCAGCTTTTTGAGTCATTGAATTTGTCATCTCGTTTTTTTTTTTGCTTAAAAAGTTAGTATTTAAACCCACAACATATTCTACAAATTTCAACTAATTCGGACATTTCTGTACTGAGATCGATTTTTGAGGATTGGGCCTTAACTGCATATCAATTTAAGGCCCCCCTCCCCTCAAAAATGGATCTCAGCCCAGGAACATTCAAATGACATGAAAATTTCAGGATACGTTGGAGCTGGTGAGACATAGCTATGGTCAAATTTTCAGCCCTATAGCACGATGTTTAACCGAGATATGCACCAAACAAGGGCCAAAAATAGCTCTTTAGTATCTCCAAGTTTTCTCTGTGGGTCTTCATTCTACACATTTAATTCTTTTTTTTTTGTTTGAAAGAGCATGTCAGAATGCAGCGACTCTCGTGGCCCTTTTTTTTTAAAGTCTTACTTTTTAGGGGAAAAAACCGGAGCAAAAGTTCAATCACTCAAAAAACTTTCTAAAAATTGCGCTGCTCCGATATAGAGGTTATCTTCTATGATAATAAAAAAGCTTATTTTAAAAAAAGGGTCACGAGAGTCGCTAGCCCTGCACATAAGCTTTCAAACAAAAAAAAATATTTGACTTTACCTCTTACTGTGATGGAGTTCTGCTGGAGATACGTCGTCGAACCGACGTTCTGAGAAAAACGGCCTGTTTTTCGAATAGGAGGTGACGAAAATCTTCCAAAATTTTTCAATCAAAAGAGATGCTGAATAAAAATTTTTGTCGCATATGAAAGGGCAGATGGCGGGCTATTTCTCCATGAATGTCGATGATTTTGACGAAAAGTGACTTTTTTTGAGAGGGGGTGACCTTAAGTTTTTGTTCTCGTGCAATAAAAAACAATATAGTACAATAGATAATTGCCAAGTGATTTCGTAAGGTATATGGGTGATCATGGAAGTACTGTAAAGTATAGTTAAGTTCGAGCATTTCTGAACATTGTTTCGTATGTCTGGAGAGTTTCGTTTCTTCTAATTAATTAACTCAAAAATAATCGTATTTAAGACTGAACCTGAATATTTGGATTAGATGCATGTGTATTTGTCAATGAAATATTTTTAAAAATATATATTTATATTTTAGAAAAAATTGTATTAATGTACTTGTAACAACATGTCCATTAGTTCAAGGATTATCAAAAGTTCTTTTATATGGTCTTGGTAGTGTATTTGATGTAGAAAATATTTATAGTGCAACAAAAATTGGTAGAGAAAATTGTTTTGAACGTATACATACAAGATTTGGAAGAAAACCAACATATGTTGTTATTGGTGATGGACGTGATGAAGAATTAGCAGCTAAACAAGTAAATTTAAAAAGAAAAAAATTCTTTTTCTTTTTTTATATTACTATTAAATTTTTTTGTTTTATTTTAGCTTAGCTGGCCATTTTGGCGTATAAATGAACATCAAAATTTGACGGCCTTAGTTCATGCACTTGAATGGCAATTTCTTTAAAAAAAAAAAATAAAATAAAACTTTTCTTTTTGTTTATTATTGTCTTGTCTATGGTTGTTTTTTTCTCTTTGTAATTATCTTTACACACAGTGATCTTATTGATAATGTGCGTTCTAATCTCATACGCACAGATGTCTATGATCTGTTTATTATTTATAACTATGAAATAATGAAAGAAAAAAAAAAATAGAAACGAGACATTTATGTATAAATAAGATTTTCTTTTTTTTTTCGAATGAATATTTAAAAATGAAAATCATTTTTGATATTTAACTCTTTCACGACGATTTGGTTTTCCAAAGAACGTATTAATTTTCAAGCGAGTTCACACTTGATAAATGCGTTCATTGGTATTTTCAGTATGTGCAGCTATTTATTTTTCTTTATCAAAAGATAGCATTTGAGATAATATTTGGAGTGTCAATAGTAAAAATACTTATTTGATTTACAAAGAAAATTATGCTACAGTTTCGTGAAAGTTTTGTGTGATCTTTACTTCTTGATGTGCTATTCGCGAATCTAAAACCTAGTCCAAGAGAATGTTCAACAAGCCAAATGAAGCGCAAACTTGCGGATCATAAGCTCGAAGGACAGAAAGGATCAGACCGTGATGGCCGAAGACGCTATATTGGCTGTTACGAGAAAAACAATCAAGAGAAGCATGTCATGCAACAGCAAAGAGAATAAAAACTTTCTGTTCTGATTGTAACAAATTTTTTTTTTTGTTTTGATTGTTTTAACGAGAAACATCACGCTATGTAATAAATGATTTTAAACATAGCGAAGACAGAGCAGATTACACATTACGTGTAACCTCCCGCCTAAGAATAAAAGAAAAGAAAGTGTTTTTCTATTAAGTTTCTTATTAAAATATAGTGGGATTCATCGGTGAATCTCATCGCCGTAAAAGAGTTAATTAATATGTTTGAGTTTTAAATAATGAAATGATTTGAGAGATAAAGATGAGTATTATTAAGTAAAATGGAATAATAGATGTAAGGATTGAAAAAAAAAACCGTCATTCTCAAATAATATCACATAAAATGTAATATATAAGTTACAACAGATAACTTATTTTATGTATGAGTCAAACTATTTGATTCTATTAATTGTATATCTTCAAAATAGATGATAGTTTGATACTTAAACAGTCAGCTATATTCTGATTGCTAATTCAATTATAGTATACTGATGATTGCTCAAAAAAAAAAAAATTGTAACATAAATAGTCACACTAGAATTCTTTTGCTTTCTTGTTCGTCTGCTTATAATAAAATATATTCTTGTAAAATGAATATAACAATCTTTAATCGATGAGAAGAAAAAGTAAATAGATCGTTTACAAATAAAACAATTTAGTTCATAGTATTAAAAACTGATCGCATAGAGTTTCATCTATTTTTAGAACAAAGGATGCATACCTAAAATAAACCTTTTGATTGTAACTTGTAGAACTTTATATGTTGCATTGTATATGTTATCTTTTTGTTTTTTAAATAAACTATAAACATTGATCATTCATTATGAATTTGTATTCACTTCTTGTGTTTTTTATTGTCTTTGCTATGTATGATAGTGTTTTTTTTTTGTGGATAGAAAAAATTTTATTTTTCTTTCTTCTTAGTTTTATCTTATCATTGTTTTTTTATCAAAAAGAGACTATTATTGAAATTGTTTATGACATACATACTAAAAGAAATATTTTCGAGCTTCAAATTTCAACAATTTGACCTTAGTAAACTTCGTAAAACCGTACATGTGGAATTTACTTCGAATATTGATCCTGATGTTTTTGTCTGAAAAATTTTTTTTGAGTTTTTCAAATTACTGAAATCAGAGATCTAAAATATTATTCACCAAAACCTTACGTGATTGATCAAGTGCTGACTAATTAGATTTCAACTCATATTGATGACATTAAATGTTCGATCTTGAATAGTAAAAACCATAGGGTCTCTACGTTATTTCTATCAAAAGTTATTAGAATGACATAAGTATTTATTATATTTTCGCATCGATAGTAAAAATGAAAGATATAAATTTAAACTAGCATTGATATTATCGATTTAGACTAGTTTATGAAACGTTTCTTTCAATTAATAACACTCCACATGCTTTAAATTTTGCAAATATTGTGCTATTGTTAATCTTATTATATTTATGTTGTCATATTATTTCTGACAAAATATTATGACAGTTTAAATCTTATGACATGATAGAATGGTTGAATTATTTGAGATCATGAAAAATCTTGAACATTTTTTTCTTTTAATATTCTTTCTTTAATTATACATCTAGCATGTTTATTAAAGACAGTTTACATTGTGAATGTACTTTTTTTTTTTTTTCAATGTATTCTTTTAAACTATTTTAAGCACTTCCTAACAGATGTATTGGCCATGAAATACAAAAAAAAAACTCAAATGCGAAGTTAGAGAAAAAAAAAACCAACTGACAACATTCTTTACTAATGACAAGAATATTTCTTATAGAAATAAAAAAAAAAACTTTAATCATCTCGAATTCATAGAAAAAGAAATTTCGAGGTCAGAGACCTATAAAGAAATGTTGTATTTACCTCGATGAATGTTGATTTATCAATCCAATCATCTGATTCACAATTTTTTTTTTGTTCGATTAATATTGCAAGAAAAAGAAAATATAGTTAACTTCTTCCTTTTTTTTTAATTATTCATTCAAATGCATCAGATGGATATCAAACAGTTCGAAAAAAATAAAAATAAAAGTTCGTTTTTCTTTTTTTCCCTAATAATTGTTTGTTGATTCTGACTATATGATGAAAAATGGTGACATGTTTTACATCCATAGAAAAAAAAGAAAAAACATGATATTCTATTACCAATTGATTAATAGAAGAGAAAATGATGTTTTGATAGAGCATTGAGTAAATGTAATATATAAACTAGGTCGAAAGAATGATTTGGGCATATGTAACTTTTTATCATGCAAACAAAAATTTTCATTAATATTAGTGAACAGTTCAAAGTCTATTTTCATCATTCATAGAAAAAAATACAATATAAACTTCCCAGATTTATAATTATGTTTCTTACAAGTCAAGGTTTTTTTATTTTTTAACTTATATCTTTATTTTAAAGGATAACTAATATCGTGAGAATATTAATACTATTAGAATTTTGAAATTTCTACCGCTCCTTGTAAATCTTTTGATTACACAACCATCATGTAGACCATAGATTTTTTTTTTTCTTCAAAACTAAGAAGTTCTATATAAATGACAAGAACATATTTCGAACTGTTAAATATTATGATTAATCAAATTAATGAATATTTCTTTTGCAATATATTCAGTCATGAATTTCTAATATGATTATTTCTACAGTTACTCTAAAACAATGCAAATTCTATTTATGATATGCATAGATTTAATTATTAAATTTTTTTTCTTCTATCAACAAATAAATAAGAAAGAAAAAAACTTTTTTTTTTTTCTTTTTCATATTATTCAATTTATTTTAATAATTTCGCAATGAGTTATAATGAAATAAACTATAACATATATACATCTATATATACAATTCTCTGAAAAACTAAATTATAAACAAAAAAAAAAATGAAAATAAATTTGAATGTGCTGAAACTTGAAGCCAAAAAACACCAATTCTAATTGTTCTTATTCTTGTTTTTGTTCATCACGATATATCTTAACTATATTAAAAATCAAATAAAATATTAAGCGGAAAAATATTTTTGATCATCAATAATAAATAAAGGAAAAATGAATATATATATATATATATATACACTGGATGATTACGAAACTTTATTCATCATTGTCAATAAAATAAATCATATATAATTGATCCGATTGTTTATCAATAGTTTGCAATAATGTATTGTCAGGTGATAATATATGAAAACCAAGAAACATAAATGTTTTTACTACCATTGCTCGATCAGAACGTGTTTTATCAAAATATATAATAATATTTTTACAATGTAATATATCATCAGCAAATTCAAGAAGACTAACTAATCTATTAATAATAACAAAAACAATATGAATAAGACGAAAAACAAAAAAAAACACAAATTTATTTTTACTTTTCTTTTGATCCTTCGGATACTTCTTTAGGAAATTCTATATAGAGTGTATTATCATATAATTTAATTGACCAGGAAATATTATGTTCATGTAAAAATTGAAGTATTATATCATATTTTATTTGCAAATTTTCATCATCATTTATCTAAATTAATTACAAATGAAAAAGAATAATTTTTATTATATTCATAGAAAAATACTATAAACTAACCTTAGATGATTCCATAGATTTGATGATCGATCCATTAGGGCGCGAGGCTAATACTCGTCGTCCAACACTGCCGCCCTCGGCGCCTACATTTGATGGTAAGACTACAGCAGCTAAAAAAAAAACAAAAAAACATCAAATAAATAATCCAAATAGATTGTTTTTTTTTTGGCTTTGTGATACAAACTGTTGGCAACATCAGGAGCACCACATTATGTCGGCCGCGTTATGGTAACAAAAACTTTTGAGACTATTTAAAAAATAAAAATACAAAATATCGAATATATTTTATAAAATAAAACGGAAAACTTACGTTTCATTATTTGATTGAATTTTAATACACGACATGATAATAAGTTTTTTCTTGAAAATAATCAAAAAAAATAAAAATAATATATATATATTTTTCTAATGTCGATTATTCTAGAAAAAGTATTTTGTTTTTCCTTTTTTTTTTTGTGATATAGATAGACAATCAAATGTTTACGCACTGAAACTGTCTGTATGTGCGTGTGCCGAGCTTTTTTATACTATCTGAAAATAAACGAAGAGAAAACGACGGGCAGGAAAAGAAAAAAAAAACAAGAGAATAATACAAACTCCATCTTCGCTTTCTTTTTCTTTTCTTTTTTTTTCCTACGTAATGACGCTTGCTCATTTCTTTTGCATAAGGACTAAAAGCCTTTCATTTTCTTGTTCTATATTTGTATCATTCTTCATTATAAGGTTATAAATGATCATGTGATGTTATTTTATATAAATACAATGTTAAAGCACAAAAACTCGTTAATTATCATATGAGAGATGACAAATTTATATCCAATAAAAACAAAAAAAAAGCAAAAAAAAAAAAAACAGATTTTTTTTTTATTTTTAAGTTAAAAAATAATCTAAACCAAAAAAAAAAAAAAAAAAAAAAAAGGCATGTCAACATTTCTATAATGTTTGTATGGTTTTATTTTTGCAAGTAATCATGTGGAATTTACCGATGCCACTGGACGGCATTATGGAACAAGAGCGAGAGACAAAAAAAAAACGAGAATATATAATTAATACACCGGGTTAATTGGTAAAAAGATATATTTTAAAAAGAAAAACTAAGAAGCATTATCTCCATTTGAATTTGAAGATAGACATATGCCCGTTTCAACACTTAATGCAAGTGCTTCAAGCCATGGATGAGATACACAAAAAGCAGGTCTATAATAATAAAATAAAAACTTGATTTTTGCTTTTTTTTTCTTTACCTTGAATCAGGATTTATGTCACAACAAGCAATAGCAATAGCAATAAATTGTTTTGGACAATCTTTACTACAATATTTCTGATTAAATAAATGTACATTTAAACCAAAATCTTGTGTACGTGGTAAATAATCAGGATCAGCTTGTACACGACCAATAATCTAATTTTTAATGTAAAAAAATCTTTATTTTTTTTTATAAATTTTTCTTTACTTCACAAAGCATGATACCAAAAGAAAATATATCTACACGTTCATCATAACATTGACCTTTTAACATTTCAGGTGCCATCTAAAATAAATTAGAAATTTTTTCGATGAGAGCTTTTTTTTTTGTCTTTTTCACTACAGAAAGAAATATATGTAGAACTTCGCAATAAACATTTTCCGAACAGAGCTATTTTAATCATAGCATTCTATTAGGAAAGCATTTTATTGTTTTTTTATGTACATGTATTTCATTCTGTATAATCACTTTTTTACATATTCAATTATCTTACCCAATAAGGAGAACCAACAACTGTATATCTAAAATAATAATCAATACATTTAAATAAAAAAAAAACAAGAGTTTGTTTTTTTACCGTTGTCGATCTCGTAATAATTGTCGACGAGTTTTAGGTCGAACAACAACAATATTACCATTCGATGTTATTGTTGTACTTGTACTTCGTTGTTCACGTCTAAATGATCCTGATGTACCATCATTAATTTGTGTTGTTATATAATCATCATCATCATCAAGATTTATTCTTGATAAACCAAAATCAGCAACAACAACTTGTCCATTAGATTTAACTAGACAATTTGAACTATTTAAATCACGATGAATTATATTACATGAATGAAGATATTCCTTTATAAAAAAAAGTAATACAAAAAAAAAGGTTTTTGTTATAATATTTTTACCATTCCGGCAGCTATATCTTTAGCATAACGTAAACGTTGTAACCATGTTAATGGAATAGATAAATCATGAATAATATTTTTTAATGTACCACCGGCAATATAATCTTACAAAATAAAATAATTTATATGAAAAAAGTAAAAAAATATAAATTTCAAAAGAAAAAAACATACCAACAAGAAAACACATTTGATTATCTTTATCAAGTAAAAGACCCATAAAATTAAGAACATTTGGATGTTTTAAACGTTTAAGAACTTGTACCTAAAAGAAAATTTCAATTTAAAAATATAATAATTTTCTTCTTAACAAAATATTTTATACGATTAAAAACTTATGTGATCGTTTATAAATTAAATATCTCAAAAAAAAAAAAAGGAAGTCATTCTTTTATTGATTATGTAAATCAAAACGATTGAACATTCTTCCGAAAATCAAATTGATATTTCCGGAATTTTAAATAATTATTCTTCTTCCCGTTTCGGAAAGAAAAAAAAAAAAAATTTTAAATTTACTTCTTTAACAAAAATTTTTTGAGCTTCTTTATCAAATGTTTTTGTTTCTTTCATAACCATTATCTGACCAGTTTTTCTTAAAGTAACCTAAACAAAAATTTATTTAAATTATTATTTTTTTTTCTTATTATAAACTTACTGTTCGTGCAATACCATAAAAACCTTGTCCAATAATAGGACCAAAATCTAATTCATTTGCACGAAATACTTCATGTCGATGTAAATCATGTACAGATGATGAACGTGTAAATGTTTCAGATTGACGTTGTAAAGATAATAATTGATGATTTGAACTAAAAATTTATTTGTTTTTATAATACACAAAAGAATACAATTAAACTTTTTTTTCATTTCTTAATATGTTATACCTGCAAACACTATTAATTGGTACTGATTGAGAACGCATTCGAGTATAAATAGATATTTGATTTTGATCACAATTATTATTATGTCTTTTTGTATTTGTTGATGATTCTTCATAAACAGAATCACATTTAATAGCTGGTGATATACGTGTTTGAATATGACGAAGAAAACGTGTTGCATCTGTTGCACTACGGCTTCGAGTTAATGTACGTTTTGGATCAGCAATAACACGTTGAATAAAATGAACAAGCCACCAACGTGTTGGCTTACAAAAAAAAAAAAAAAAATTAATTAATTAAAATACAAATGAAAATTTAATTTTATAAACCTACATCATTTCCTCGATTATGATTTGAACGAGATTTACGATTATCACCATTTGTTATTTTACTATAGGAAAAATAAAAAGAAAGCAAAGTTATATGATGCTTGATATGAAGTTGAATAATAATAATAATATTGATTTAGTCAGTCGTGATAGAAAGAATTGAGTAATTGAAAACGACTTGAACCTTTTTTTGCAATATGATCTAATTTTTTTTCATTATCTATATAGAATTTTTGTTGTTATTAATTTTCGAGAATATAAATATTTTCATTGTAATGTCATTATTTTGATAATTTAATTTTTTTTTTTTTTGTTATTGAAAAAATTAAAAACTTTCAATAATATATTTTTAATACTTACGAAGAAATTTCAGAATTTCCACCACCACCACCACCACCATAATCATCATCTGTACGATTTTCATTTGTACTTAAATGATTATTTTGTTTTATACTTGGTTTATTCATAGATATATGAAAACGATTTTTTAAATATTTTTGTGTACGATGATTAATAGACAATAATGAAGTTGATGATGATGATGAACAAGATTCTACAATCATCTATACATATATATATATACATATATAAAGAAAAGTCTTTTTATTATCTTTATCATATAAAAATTTTCAGACATTTACTTATTGTTTAAATCAAATCGATTTATAATCGTCGTTTTTTGTTTAATTCACGAGGTCATAAAAAATTGAACTTTTGACATACATATACACAATCTTAAATAAAAAAAAAAAAGAGAACGCTATGGCACATTGTATAATACAAAAATGACGAGAATATCTTTAAGCTCTAAATAAACATTGATGTTAAACGTAAAAATAATACACGAAGGCGGGACCCGACACGAGCTTATACACGATTCGAATTTTGTCAATATTCGATGTCGATCGATTAGATGAAAAATTCCTAATATCATGATAATATAATGCATATATCTTTACTTTTGTTTGTTAAATCTCAACTCTCCTGTCAGATATATATATATACGTATATACAAAAAAAAAATAAAACGAAAGAAGACAGCATACACACGCGCGCACATCGATCGACAAAGAATGAAGAGAATAATACAACAGGTCATAGTAAAGAAAAGAAAAAGAACAGTTACTATCATCAATTAATGTTAAAATCGATAAAAAAAAACGTTTCACACATTGCGAGTAAAAGTTGATGCATCTTTTAAACCCTTTCATACTATGCCAAAATAAATGTAGATGAATAAAAACATGCATGTATAAGACAAGATAAGAAGATGATTACTCATACAAATGAAATTTCTCATGTTTGCGTGATATACGAAAATAAAAGATAAAAATGGCAGACAGAAAAAAAAAGAAATCTTATGATTCATTACTTTATTTTTCTTGTATGAAGATTAAAACTAATTTTATATATATATATATGGCTTCAAGTTGTGACGATTAAGTATTTTTTTTTTCTTTGGATAAGATCATCAATCAAAAATTAAAATAATAATATGTATTATTAGATAGAATGTCGTAGTTAACTTTTTTTTTCCTCTGTTCTACACCTTCGTCTATTTTTATTATTGACTCTTTTTTTTTTTTCTTTTTTTTGTATTCCGATTTATTCAACTCGTAGGATCTAAAATATCTGCAAATGATTATTGTCGAAATAGTTCTATTTCATTTACCTTGATGTGTAACCGAAAACTATTCTTTCAACTGAATAAATATTCATGATAAGAAGAAGAAGAAGAAAAAAAAAATATATGATTTACATCAATCAAATAAAACAATGCTGAGATTTTCAAGGAACCAACATTTACTTACTTATATGCTCACGAGAAATAAAGGACATTTGACATCAACCAATCATTATGAACAAATTGTTCACCACTCACTCACTTTCTATTGGATAAATTCTTCTTTTTTTTGTTTTTTTTTTATATCTGCTCATTATCTTGGATGGCGTTAGTTACCGTGTTTTAAAACTTTATCTTATGATTAATATATAATCATCTTTATTTAATAGTATATGCAAACTTTTAGTTTTCAAATCAGAAGAATTACTTATCAATAGAATATTGAAATTCAGAAGGAAAATGTTTTTTACATATATTCATATTTAATTAATTTGCAATATTAGCTAATAATTAAAAATCTATCTTTATTTGTCCTGATGTTGAGATATTAGTATTAGTTAATAAAACTTATGTTCTTTTCAGTATACTTATTATGGAATTGTTCTGAAATAGTAGAAATGTATTTCATAGTGATAGATTGGGAGAGGTTTTACTACTTCGAAAATGGGTGTTTTTTTTATCATGATCACTATTCTTCTGTTATGTTGAGATCGTATTTTTTTTTGAAAAATCCTGTATATTTTACAAGATTTATAATAATAGTACACAGAATCACAAGTTACTCTTATCGTTTAGTTTTTTATCATCGTTTATCGCATATCACATGAGTTGTACCTCCATAAGTAAATATACATTTCGCCAGTGGTTGTTTGCATTCTTTTTTTTCGCATGTCAAATCATGTGAGCATATTCAACTCAATCCGATATGTTCATAAACAAACGCAAAGAAATTTATTAAATTTTACTTTGTAAATAATGAGAAGATGTACGATCATAACGCTTACCTAAACAAACGGACATTCTATTGTTTTTCGTCGCATATTGAAACTTTTTTTTTTTTCTAGTAAGAGTTTTAGATTAGAATACTTGTACATGCCAATTGAAGTTATTGTTGCGGGCTTACCGCGTTCTGGTACACTTTCAATGCACAATGCACTCGAACGATTGGGTTATTATAAAACAATACATACACTCGCTCATAGAACTACTACAGAACAAATGGAAGCTTGGAGAGAAATTTATGAGAAGCATCTAGAGAAAACATGGACCAATGATGATTGGCAAAAAATGATGAATACGGTATATCGAGATTTTGTTGGAACGGCTGATGCTCCTTCTTGTGATTTTGCTGTTGAACTTGCTAGAGCTTATCCTGAAGCAAAGGTATTTTCATCTAGCATGTTTCTTCGTATTCTAATTTTAATTACTTAGGTCATTCTCCTTTATCGAGCTCCTGATAAGTGGTACAAATCGCATCAACATCTTCGGGCTCAATTTAATTTATCCTACTGGGAACTCTTTCTAATTCTTCAAGAAAAAAGAGCACGATCGCTTGTTCAAATGGCACGCGCGGAATATGCATGGTGGGACGAAGTGTACGACTATTCTAACCGAGGCAAAGATGTTATGCCATTCTATATGAATAAAATCAGAACAAATATTGATGCGAAACGAATTTTAGAATTTAAAGTACAAGATGGTTGGGAACCATTGTGCAAGTTTTTAGGCAAAGAAATTCCAGAAGAAGATTTTCCTCACAGTAATGATGCTCAAGCTTTAAGTGAAGAGCGTAACCAAATCAAGAATGAAGCTTTGGCTATTGTAGTGCAACGGTTAAAGAAAGTACTGATAACAATTAGCATGTTGACAATCGTAGGTTCAATTTATTGGCGAGGACTCTTTTTCAATTGGAGCTAGACTATTAAATAAAATAAAATAATGCTATTTTGAGGATTCCAAGAAAGAAGAGAAGATAAACACTTTCATCTAACCTATTGTCTTTCTTCTCTTCTGTTAAAAAATAAATATGTATTCAATATGAATAATGAGTTTGAATGAAATTATGAATATTTTTGTCGCATAGAAAGTTTCTCTCATGTTGGTTTATACATTAAACAAAATGTAACTTCTTATTTAAAACAGACGTGTTCTGTTAACTATAATTAATTGAACTATTGAAGACAGAAATATACAATTAAGTGTGGCATCACTCGTCATTTCATCGAATAAACATAATTTTTTTGTTTTTCTTTGTTATCACTCTTCTCCCATATTTTTGGTGAATGTTCTACTGTTACTATGTACAAATCTTTTCAACAGAGTGCACATTTGAGAAGAATTTAAAAAACGATAAAAAAAAGAAGTGAAAAAGAACTCATGATAGAACAGAAAGTGTGACCATGCTGCAAAGTTAAGAAACAAGTCAGTTGAGGAAAAACACAAACAGTATTCAACGCAAAAAACACCAATTCATAACAACATATTGTTCAATTTACTCGTAACATTTCGACTTTGATTACTTGAAGGTAGTCAGTAAATTACAATGAAGAATCCAAAAACAAAAGAAACTATTTTGAATTTTATATAATTACCGCTAAGTTGTGACAAATGCTCTACGTAATTTCTTCTCCAACTATAGTCGTTAATTTCAATTGTTCAAGAGATATGATACCAAAATTCATATATCTTGTAAATGTAAATATAATGTAACTACATATTTGAAAAAGAACGAAACCCTTTTTTTTTAGAATTTTAGTGCGGCTAAGAATAATTGCAAAATGAAGAGACCCGCGCTCTATATGTAATTTCATCCTGCCCAATACTTTTCCATTTCGCTGAGTACTGTGTCATTCGGCTCAGCACTACGATATGTAGAAATTTATTTGAACAAGTTAGATTGTTTTAAAGGGTCAAGCAGTTCATTTGAACGACGGAACGAAATTTCCGTGAATCGTAAAATGTCTGTTCATACAAATATGAATGACGATAAAGTTACAGGAGACGATATAAATTATCTATTTCGAAGGTTGGAAATGACGTAGAGATGCATAAAAAAGCCTCACAAGAACACAGTCCATGGATGCATGCGTTTTGTTGAGGCCCAGAAGCATTCGACATTCCAAAACTATATACCACAAAGAAGTCCAGTAGAATTGGATCGCTCATTCATCGACCTCTGCGTCTACAAAGAGTATCATACCAGAGGCTAGCACGTAAAAAAAGAAAAAGATTGATCGCAATGTTTTCGTATCACATCAGCAGCGACAGACACCCAAGGAATGTGCTTTGTTGACAAGAAGTACTTTGGGATCGCATATATGGCGAAAAAGGCTTCCTTGGTCGCAATCAACTATCAAAGTGCTTAATTGAAAAATTTTCAAGCTGTTCGACGATATCTAAAAGTCATGGTGAACAGTTTTGAAACAGCTCTTGATATTTTTTTTTGACGGGGAAATTCTTGCTCTTGTCTGGAACTAGTCATGACGACTTGCACGATGCTAATAGAGAGAGCACTAAAAGCAAGAGCAAAAGCCTTCGGAAGGTAATGATTTGTATATGTAATCGCAAAAAATTCTGAAGATCAATCTATATCTTAGAGTTATAGTCAAGAATTTTATTGAGTGCAGGCAAAAACCTTAAAATAACAGACAGATATTTTAGTGCAGCACCAAAAAGCTTCTAGAGATTAATTAGTGGGTTCTTGAAAACAATGGTATATGACTTTAAAAGTCTACCATCTCTATGTGCCTTAGGAAAAACTTCAGCTTTCATCATATGTTCATGACTTAATGCAAAAGCTGTTTCAATGCACAGAAATATTTTCAAGGGAACACGAATATCTTAGGGAACTCGTTAATGTTTTATACACTTGTGCTTCTAGAAGCTTAACACTTCGATAAATCTTCATGAACGAGCGTAAATACTTTTTCTTTATCAGAGACAGATACTTACGATTGACAACGAAATTTTTCAGTAATTAATAGGGTATATTCAAGGAGAATCAATGAGCTTCGGATGCTGGTTTTATTTCTCTCAAGTTGAAATGAGCATACGGAAATGTCGTGAATCAGAACAGCAATAACATGCTCACCAATTCCTTCGATTCTTCTCAATCGATCGCCATTCATACCTACAATTAGGAAGTAGAAAAGAAAGCTCTACTAGCAGTAATGTTTTTATCTGCAATTATCAACAAATTAATTTCATGAAACTAATGTCAGAGTATATTTAGATCGAAGCTATGCTATGATTTTACGCTGCCAAAAAAAACAGAACACGATGCAATTCATACAGAAAAATATGAAAGGAAGAACGAAAAGATTCTATCACTTTGATATGTAACTCAAGTGTTTATGAAGTTTTTGTTGATATTATTTTCAAATAAACATAGAAAGAAGTTTTTTTTTCTTTTCATCAAGTTGAAAGATAAATTCAGTGGTTGTTTTGTCCAAGAGCAAGAAAACTATAAAATATTTTTAATAATTCTTTTGCTCATTGATGACACACAAGTTATACAATTTATAATAGCATTATTGTTCGGTATTTTCTTTTCATACATGCAAGATTTCTTCCTTTTTTTTGCCTCTCATTTTATTGTTTCATTGTATAAACAATATTTATGTCAACCTATAACAGTATCTAATTACTATTGTAATGAAAATAATAATGGTGTCGAATTTACACTATCTATGTCGACTTATTTGGCATGACAATCAACATTTAATTGTTCTTTGCAACAATGTAATATAAGTTCCAATAATAACAACAACAACTGTTGTTCATCATGAATACCTTGCTTTGATTACCATACACTTAACAATACTAGTTATTGTAAACCTGATATTCTATGTAATATTTTGTAACTATGTGATAATATTCCATATTTTTGTATGTCAAATGCATCAGTATGCATCATTAACTTGTGTTGTTCACCACAAATAGTATGTTTACCATTGCTATTTATGGATGTCTGTAAGTCAGATAACAACGCATTTTACTTCAATTTGCGTGTGTATTGAAACCAACTAAAGTATTCTATCTGAATTTTAGTTGAGATTTGATTTGATTTTACAAATTCACTATTGAAGAAAGAAAGTGAAACAGCAAATAAAAACTGGTTGAAGTTTTACATGTAATAAAAAAAAATTAGAGGCTAATGTGATATTGTAAATCGATGGATACAAATATGATCGATTCTGCGATACTTCAAAGTCTCCTTTTTCTTTTTCGAACAAAGACTTATTAATAAAGTTTCTAGTGGAAGTAAATTGATATTTTTTTTTGTTTTTCTCAACCAGATATAGCTTTATGATTCAAAATATGAAATGAAATTAGCGTTCCTAACATCGCCATATGTATTGCTTATATTCGATGTATTCATGTTTTTTAATCGAGAAGATTTAATCAGGCGTAATTTTATCAACAATAACTTGAAAGATGTCAAACTATACCAAAGATAATAGTTTCTTCATCTTAAAATTAATGTTTATAAATAATTTGGTTGGCGATCTTCATCATATCTTTGGTAATTTTGATTATGATCATAATTATTTTAAAATAACATTCTCTAGTAACAATACAAATGAAAGTAAATTTTTTGGACGCAGTGACGTCATTAATATAATTTCTCAAATTAAGAATTATAAGATTTTTGTATGGATCAGTTAGACTTAGGAAAAAAGATTCTGTAGCACTATCCAATTGAATATTTCGTTTTGAAATGCTGTCATCTTTTCGTTCATTAAGATACAATTGATTAATAAGAGGCTATTTAAATTAAAATTCTTTTTATTCATTCTCACATTCGATATGCATTTTTGATGATTTTTTTATTATTGGCATCGTTTTCTGATATAATATTACCGTTGTATTAAACATGATTTAATCAACGACATGAATTATCAATGTCGAGTTTTGCAAAGTATGTAAGTCATTTATAATAAGATTTAAAAGAATATATCTGTCGATTTGAATTACTTTCAAAAATTATATTTACATGAATACGTAGCAACTAGTAGTTTTCTTGCATTGTTCCATCTTAATTCATAGTATTATCAAGTTAAGACTCATATTTACATCAACTACTCAATTAATGTCTAAATTAATGTTGTTTTTCAGTGGTCACATGTATCGAACATTTTTTTTCCACCATAGATTACTTTTAGCAAGCGATAATTAACATATAAACGGACACATGTCTTCAGTATAGTGCCCAAGCTAAGTAATATGGGTGCTAGTGGAAGTACCAACACCCACACCCATCGCCTACATCTTTCTGGTTGGTTTTAGTGAAAGTAGTTCTTTTTGTAAGCTTGAAATTCTCGATTTGGATTGTTGTGACTAAATGCCGTTCGTTAAAAAAGAAATATCGTAATCTAACAATATTCAAGAACTCAGAAATAGAAATTACTCAGTTTTCGAGCAACTCTTACAAACACTGTGATAATTCGTCGGAAAATTGACGATCAAGAATGAAGGGTTTTAAGTGTTAAATTTCTCATAAAGTTGACTTTCATACTCCAAAAAACGTCAAAAAAAATGTCCAACGAAAATTGACTATTTTACATTTGTTATACGTTCAGTTACACAATGACTCAAGATTTAGGGATGAAATTTCCTGTGAACATATTATAACAAAGTTATACTTAAACAAAATCATCCATAAAATTTTACCTAGTAAAAAGCTTGAACTGCATCAGTTCTCTTTTCTACAGCTGCAAATATTTCCACTTGTTCAACTTTCTGATTTTTTGGATAATCATTTTCTTGATGGTCACACGAACTTAAATGGAGTGAGTGTTAATATGCCTTCTTTTTTATCGTCTGAAATCACTGACTACGGCTCTGCTCTTAGCATTGATCGAATCAATATTCAATATGCAACCATTCCAAACTATCAGAATCTTACTTATGCTAAC